GGCCGAAGATTTTGCCCCAAAATTCACCATGTTCACCGTGCTTATAAATCAGGGATTGAAAGGGGAAGAATAGCTTATTTATTAAGCTATACACTCAGCAAATAATTATTCTAAATTAGCCCTAATCACACGTATTAAGTAAGCAACGCATACGCACACGCACGGAGCAATTGGAGACGATCGATCACCGGAACCTTGTCAAATCTCATCGAGTGATTCAAGGGTAATGTGATTCTGACTCTGTTCTGAGGTTACCATGTTCATGCTGAGTTCAAATTATAGGCCTAAGTTCATGAAATGATCAAATTAGCCTTCGGTTATGTGATTTAAGTCGTGTCGATCCATCTCTTTATTTAGTAAGTATTGTTCGACCAATTCATGTGTTATTAGTCATTATTTAATGTGTAAGGTTCATTAAAGAAAGCTAGCTCGAGACAAGTTGATGTTTTACTGAAGAATTGGCCTAAGAATGTGGACAGCACACATAGTGCACGCCCACGGGCTGTTCGGGGTACTACCGAGTAAAATCACGCCATGTTCATAATCCCTCGAACAAGTCATGTGTGATCCTTCATGTTATGATAGATTAAGTTTAAACATGTTGTAGTTGTCGGAGAAAGATATCGGACGGCCGACGAGGGTCGGTCGTACTCGCGCTGTCCGCACGTCGCGGCCGCAGCGTACCGGCGGGTGTGTGTGAGGTACAGGTGATGCGTGGTGTAGGCGCCGCGTAAGGCCAGTACCCGCAGTAGGTAATAGTTGGCGATGCGCGTACGCATGCCATCACCTAGTTATGCACGCCAGCGTGCGATAACGCACGCCAGCGTGCAGTAGTGATCGTCACTAGCGCCTGTGTAGCGCTAGTCACGTCCAGCCAGCGCCCAGGTGCGCGTTCATGCGTCCAGGTACCCGCTGCAGCATGCGGTAGTGCCTGGCAGCGTTTAGAAGCGCTTAATTCCAACGCTCATAGCGTATGGCAGCGCTGAGGTTCAGTCATGTGCGTCCAGAAGTGCCCAACGGGCCCAACTCGTGCCAGCCGTGGCCAAGTGCACATAGCACCCTCGGCCGTGGCCAGGGCAGGCCCGGCAGCGGCCGTGCCCGTACCCAGTCCCGCCAGCAGTCGTGCCCAAAGTCGTGGCAAGGTAGTGAGCCGAGTCAGCAGCCAACCAACCGGTCCGAGCAGACCAGCAGTTTGGCCAGACCGGTTCAGATCCGGTTCAGACCGGTTTGGACCGGTTCGACCTAGATTTTTCATTTAAGTCCCGGTTCATGATTTCAGTCCCATTTTCAGTCAATTTCCAGGTCTGGTTCAGTTCAGTAAATTTATGTCAGTTCAATTTCGATTTTAGCCGGTTCCGGTTATACCGGTTAAATTCGTAAATCATGTTTAGTTCTATAGAGCATCTTAACTTATTTAAAGAGTTATTTTATCAGTCTGAGCATAGTATTTAGTAATTGTTTATATTATTTTCAGTTTGATCAGGATACGATTATCAGCACTGCCTTTTATTCAGACGAATCAGGTGGGGACTCAGACTGGGTATTACATTGATTATAATTATTCTACCATGTTTGAGGTATGTATTATCAGTATCCGCTCGGAATGGTCGCCGGTCCATTCTGGGTTCTAGTAGCCTTAGTCTGCCCACTAAAGTGTGCACATGGTGTCCGACATTAGTATTTTGCTGGCAGATGTTGAGGTATCAGGCAGGTGATGATTTATCACACCATCAGTATCAGATCATGATTATTCAGTACCGGTTTCATGTTCATGTTCATGCCAGGATCATGTTATTGTAATTATTTTCACTGTTTACTTTAGTATGAGTTTCCACGGAGCACAGTGGACTTTAGTGCTCAAGACCCACTTTTATCATGTTTTTCAGGTCATGGAGTCGGGCCGGAGGTGTGAGATGACGAGCAGTTCAAGACTTGTGCTTATAAAGCTTAAATTATATAAGACTTATGCTTATAAAGCTTAAATTACGTTTTGTACAGTTTGAATTTGGTATAGCAGTGCTATTGCTATCTCCTGTAGACTCATTTTCACGATCATAGCACTGCTATCCCATTTTGCCCTACAGTTTCCGCTGATTTTTCACTGTTCGTCATTTTTAGTCCTTTTTGACTGTCAGCTGACTGTGAGCTGTTTTCTTAAATCAGCCTGATTTTGAAAGTAAATCATGTATTATGGTAGCACTCCGAAACAGTATTTTACAAACCAGTCAGTATTTTATTTAAAAAGGTTTGTATAAACGCACTCTGATTTTCATGA